TTCCTATTTCCTAGTGATCTATCTAATATCTCACTCTTCTGAATCTTTGGTTAATTTTGATCAGGCAAGATGGCTATCAGATGGTTTGACCCAGGTTAATAGTAACGTGACTACCGTTGGTGTGGCTGCATGCATATGTGAATTTAGCTTCATTACACTACAAATCCAAAAATGTCAGATTACTTCAGTTTATTTAAGCTCCCACAGGTGGCCCAAAAATTTGACATGAACCTGCTTCATAGTCACGGAAAGAGTCAAATCAACGTACGTGTTCTTTCGTGACGACATCGCACATAGAGATCAAACAAAAAGCTCTTTTGTGTGAATTTTTCGTAGGTTTCTTCGTTGGTCAAGACAGAAGTAGACACAATACATTCGTGTTTCTTTTTCGAGTAGGAGAAGGTATGACATAAGAACGATGTTGCATTGCGGCACAATAGCCTGTGTAAAAGACAGACATAATAGATATTGAGATAAATCCAGAAGGTAACATAATCTTCCGTTTTCGCTGGAATATTGTTGACACGAACTATGGTCTGGAAACTTTTCCCTAAATTCATGTATATATATATATATATATATATATATATATATATATATATAAATAAACTTTTCTTATTTCTATTCAACCTAATTTCACAGTGTTTTTTATCATTAAGCAGATCTCACTAATTCCAGAATTTAACTCGTTTTTCGGGTTCTTGAACGTTGTAGGATACTGGTTCAGCGCTCCTCTTTGCAATCTTGAGGATAGCCTCGCTGTAACGTTCCATAGGGAGTCCGCTATTGACTGCCGAACAGTGTTTGGGGTTACGATAGCCTCCACGCGCTCCTTGACGGACATTATAACCACTCGGCCACTGCGCGCTTGTGTAAATAATCATATAGCAGATTACACGAATACATATATAATGCACATATGCGTTTGTAACCCGCATTTCTCGTCATAGCGACTGTATTTATATATGTAAATAAACTGCAAATAACCTAACAGGCCGACTTTCTAATTCTAATGATCGATTTTCTATATTCATTGGCATTGAAGTCAATTAATTGATCATAAAAAACTTAACTGTGTGAGCTGACGGGAGGTTGGTAGTTAAAGGTGTTGTTGACGACGCTGCCGCTGTTGTTGTTGGTGTTGACTTGGAATAAAACGCAGTACGAATCGTAGGAAGGCGTTTTGGCTACATGACCTTCTTCAAGCGCAAAACTCTCGAAGCATTTTGGATAAACGGTAAAAGCCCAAAAATGAACCGTAAGGACGAGTGCGTCGCTATAACACGAGATTTGGCTCCCTACATGCGCTTAATCTTCTAATTTGATTCAAAAAGCATTGCCTAGGCGTCGGTTTCGTCGCCAACCTAGAGAAATAGCGATACGATGTACCCTTAAGCCGAGTAAGACGGTGTCGCCGAAACGTCAGCCTACGATTCACAGTGATCTGTTCCAACTCAATACCAAGAGCACACCTACCAAATTCGCGCCAGCTCAAACAGCTAAGGCTCGAATACTTAATTAATGACGGACTTATTGTTATCGAATCTCGACATTGATAACTAGTATGTGAACATAATGACTATCCTTGTTAAGCCGATACGAGGTTCCATCAGCTTTCGCTGTCGTCGCTGTTGTGAGTTGATGGCTGATGTTTCCGCAACTTTGACTTTTCAGACAGTGAAACACATTGACAACAACAAAAACGTCCACTGATAACAACTTTGCGCGATTAAACAAGGGTAGTACTCCATATATATATATATATATATGTATATATATATATATATATATATATATATATATATATATATATATATATAGGAGCGCATGTGGTGCAGTGGTTAGAGGTGCCCACACGAAGTCTATGGTTCGATCTCGCGCTCATGGCTCACCAAGCCATCCATCCCTCCGGGGTCGGTAAGTTGGTACCAGACAGGTCTTAGACTTGTCTGGGAGGATAAGCAGCACTGACTCGGTTCAGCGGGAGGCCACCGCGAGTCATCGTAAAGGCCAGATGTGCATTCAATCACCTCAAATGAAGTTAAAAATTGAAGTCGAATGCATGGTGCATCCCTCAGGGATTGATCAACGCCGAGAGCTTTATCCTTTATTTTTATATATACATATATATTTATATTTATATTTATATTTATATATAGATATATTGATCTATAAATGATTTTCGGAAAAAAGAGATTGACCAGCATTTCTCCAAATCGCTTGTCAGCAAATGCTGAATGCTGCGAAATTCCTGCCGTAGTGTCCTATTTGCCTCAAAAAGCTGAAATGTCTCATGACGGAGTGGAACTGAGGATGTATTGACATCAAGAAGCTGTGGTAGACATGCACGTTCGAAGTAGTCAAAATTCTTGCTCTTCACTGAAAATCAACTATTTGAAGAAAGTTCTCCAGAATTCTTCTAGAAAATGGCATCATTTTATTGTTGACTAGTACAATTGCTGCAGTCAGGACCCTCGCAACATCTCAACACATCTGTGATGAGGTCACAAACATTCTGAATATTTTGCCTTGTAGCGCAGATCTCTATGATTACGCCTTATGACTGCTAAACTATTGCCCTTCAAAGTCTTGTTTTAATGGCATTAAAGTTCTTTTGTTCGAGAAAACTAAAAAATCGAACCGAACAATACAAAAGTGTTTCAACCACTTCGCCACGTTTACTGATTACTGATTGCTGGTTATGTACTTATTTAGTTGGACAAAAAGTAAGGAAACTTATATGGACTACGGTAGCCATGAAATTCGCGTTCAACTCTTTGAGGACCAGCGTTGATAGGCATGCGGCGTCGTGCCGTCACTTCCGCGGAGGTCAGACAAACTGTTCTGCTATTTGTGCATAAGTGTCTGACTGTCTGCCTGCTTTTTACGAGACGCGACGCCGCCAACACAGTAGCTGAATGAAACTTGACGCCGCGCCGTGAGCATCAAAATTACTTTTATGGTCCCTAAAAAGTTTAAACGGCATGTTCCAGTGAAGAGCCAGGTTTACCGTGGGTTATGGCGTCGTCAATGTGCCAAGTCATGGGGGATCACTGCTCACAATGTGGCTGAACTTTACTGAAGCGTAATTTTATGCACACTCCAAATCACTATTTATTTAGTAATCAGTGTTACGTAAAGGCACCACAAAGTGGTTTCTTTGATTAGAAATTATATTGTTTGTTTCGCTTTTCTTCGCTTTTTTTGCAAATGAGAAACTTTAAGTCAGAAAAAGGCAGACTTTGAGGAACAGACTTTTAGGCGAATCGAATGGCGCATGCGTCGAAGTCTGTTCATACGAGACACAGTACATATGCTGGTGGAACACGTAAATATACATTGTGTTTTGGTTGAGCTTACTAGGACTGGTACAAGATTGAAAAAACTGAGACATACATCAAATATATCGTCAATTTTCATGAGCTCAAAACATATCAAAATATAAAAGATGAATTTACTCAACAAACTCACGTAAATTCACTGACCTAATGCTTTGATATTTGCGAGGTAATTTTACAACACTGTTACATTCTCTCCACATTAGCAAACAAAAGATTAAACAAATCACCACCAGTGCTTTGCTGCAAAAGATCACACATATCTTAAGTCTTACCAATAGAAGTTCCGTTATCAAGCTTGCTTTGTGCCATCAAGAAACAAATTCGCATTTTTATGTCGTAATTCACAGATCTGCATCGCTTCACCGAAATCAAGCAAGTGGATAGGCAAGCCTCAACGCTGAAATCTGAAAAAACTAGTAGGCAAATACTTCAAACCAAAAAAGACTCAACAACGAATAGCAAAATGGAAACTACTAATTCAAAACATGTACAAAAAACGTACTTTCCAGCACTTCCAATCCATATACATTGACTATTTTTGAAGAGCTAATTTTATCAAAGGAATACGCTTTGGTGCAATTGCTATCAGCTTCTGAAACTTCTGAACAGAATGGTTCGTACACAATGTAGTTTTGACGTAAGACGGCAGCATTTTCGAACTCCTCATACGAGAGCAAACACTCATTTGTAGTGTGATTGAACTGAAAACTCTCGTTAGAGTGTCAACCATGACATGCGTGACTCAATTATGAGTTCGCATATAAGCGGAATAATTAGAGTTGAGAGTCATACCCAATGAACCTAATACAGTTCAAGGCATATTTGTAATAATTTCTTTGCTTGGAGCTCCTGTTCAGCTGAGCACGTTCTGCTAAAGCATCTAATTCGTTGCATTATCAAGGGCTAATTATGGAAAATGCCTCCAAAAGTCAAAGTAGCACTCAGCTGAGGTTGATCTGACGCACAGTTTCCCAAATGAAGGAATGCCCTCTTCATGTTCACCAGCCTCAATGTCGATGAGCAAACGGAAGACGCTGAGCTGTTGCGGTGTGAAAAGGATTGAGGTGAATGAGGTTCAATGATGCCTGCTCAAGTTAATGGATGATAATGGAAGCACGAATGATATAGACGAATCTCCTGGTGTCAAACACTAGAAAATAAAATAACAAGCTCTCTTTTGGCTATAATTTATACAGTTTTTAGCTATCAATCAACAGGCGTGACGATTCCCTATGTTTTAACTGCTCTTTTTACAGTGTTATGATGTTGTAGATATGCCTAAAAAATTAGGTGATGAGCAAGAACTCGACCTCAGGCGGGCGTTGAACCCACATTTCACACCATACCAGGGTGCGTGCTACCACCTCACAACAAAGGCCACCGCTTATCCACCACTCATTCTTCAACATTTCGCTCTCATAGTTTTCAGCCAAAAATCGTTAACAGGTCTGGTCAGATTAGCACATATCGCTTTCTATATCCAGTGGAGCTAACATCTAGCAGTTAAAACATAAGAAATCCTTAGCAATATATAAAAGATGGCTGTTAGCTTAATTGGATTCAAAAAGCGATATCTGCTCACGCGACCACACCTGTTAGCGGTTGGTGGCTGATGCTACGACAGTGAAATGTTGAAGAATGAGTGGTAGGTAGGTGGTGGCCTCGGTGGTGTAGTGGCAGCACGCACCCCCGGTATGGATAAAACGCGGATTCAACTCTCGCCTAAGGTAGAGTTTTCACTGACCTCTCAATTATCTTAGCTCTATTTGAAATAATGAGAGTTTTAGAAAACTGCTAAAAGCTGTGTACACACCTGCAGCGCTCTGCAGTTGAACATTGTTGTGCTGACGCATTTTTTCATACAATTCCGCAAACTTTGTACTGCATTTCCTGTGTCGAAAAAAGATACGTCTGTTGGCCTAACCAATATAAATCTCACACGCTCTCCTACTGAACAGCGTACAGATGCTAAAATACTTTTAACATGACATTCTTTAGTGCTCCAGAAATTAACTAGATATTGCTATTCTAGCAAAATGATACTTACGAGTAATGCAATGATTCTCATAATATATCAAACTCGAATTGCTTTCGATGAGATTCCTATGAGGACTCTTGAAAAAATGACATTTTCTGAAATAAAAATTCATTTAACACATGAAAACTAATGGGAATTGATTTTCACCCATGAATGTAAGCAGATCAACTAAATTGAATCGATTTCATCACACGTTCTTTTCGATCGTTTTGTTTGTTAGACTAATGTTGTACTTTTGTATTCAATTGCTAGCAGATCTACTTCAGGGCGGAGCTGCAGGTGTCAGATTCTAAGAACTGTTTGCTACATGAAACGGGCGAGTCTCTATTCTGTGTAGCTGCCATGTAGGAAAAAAACTTGATTTACGCCGGATACAAATTTAGTATAACTCGCCTGATCGTTTGTTACCAGCAAATAATGAACGACTAGGGTTTTTTTCCATAATAGAGAACAATAATCGCCAAATTACACTACTTTCGAGGTCACCAATACGACATAATCACAAAATAAACATTGCTTTATATCTCTGAAGGTACGTTTGTTACTAATGCCCATCGTGAAGCATCTTACTGCCAGCATTTTGAGTGATGGCATCCTTTTTAGAATCTGCTGCGATATTTTATATACCATCCTGTTTCCTACGATGAGCATAATTTATTAAAAGCAGTAAATGAAATAACATGGAATATTAGCCAGAGAATGCATTTACATGCCTAATTTCGCGATCAATAGTGGTTCTTTAACAACTTCCAGTAGCTTCTTGAAAAATTGAGTACTGAAAACTTCAAGGACTTATGAAAAGGAGTTTGCTTTGTCACTTAAACGGTGTACGGACATCCAGCGGCATTGAGTAATCATTGATTTCTCATTGAAAGTGAGGAAGAAGAGGAAGGCATAGATATAGAGGATAACAATCTGTGCTTCATGTCAAAGAGGAGGTAGACGACGAAGGTGTTGTAGATGACGTTATCAGAAATGGTCTAAAAGTTACCGGTGTCACTATCTTGGGTTGACGAAGCAGCATAAAGACTCTCGCTAATTATGAGAGCATGTGAGTTGAATCCAGAGGTCGCTTTGCCAGCACAAGCGAATTTCAACCCAAAGCTCGTGGAGTGAATGATCGAGGCCAAATAGATGTAGCATCTCCACGAAATTAAGCGACAGACTCTGGCGATAATAGCTACATAGAATGATTGCAAGATTTCCTATGCTTTTACTGCCCATTCGCAGTGTTATGATGTCTCGAATATACCTAAGATAATTTGGTGAACGAAAATTCGACTTCAGGCGGGAGTCGAATCCGCGTCTCATCCATACCGGGGACGCGTGATGCCACTACACCACCGAGGCCACTGTTCACTCACCCCTCATTCTTCGATATCTCTGTACTATAGCTAACAGCCATTACCCGTCAACAGGTTTGGTCTGGCATGCAATATCGCTATAAACCTCGTTAAGCTGACAGCAATTGTACTTATATATTCCAAGATTTCTAATGTTTTTGCTCACCACTCAATTCTCTTGTATATCAATAATCAATTGGAACCATGCGTTCTCGGAAAGAGTGAGACGTGGGTTCGAATCCCAGCTGACGCTAATGTTTTTGTACAGCACTCTACATTATTAGGTCTCTTAGTTAAATTAAGCCCTTCATTTTGAGTGTGCGTTAAGACCATGCTCAAATTCCATTATATCGAATTTTTCAGCCAGCATGTCACTTGGTCTGTTATAAGCTCTTGTACAGTCCGAGCACGAGTTTCGCCCTTGGCAGTCTCAGCAGTCGGCAGGCCCTTCCTCTTCAGCCAATCCTCTCAGAGGATGGTACAATATTCCAAAAAGACTAGCCAATAGCAATCGGGTGTAAAACACTGCCGATTTAGTGATTTATTTCACTTGACGACACGTTTAAGTCGCACGTCCTCGGCTACTCTAAATAGGGGGATGTTATAGCAACTCATGCAACATTCATTGCTATTTTTATATTATCTTTCTATATGAGTAATAACATAACGAGTTCGATTGTTAAGGTAAAGTTGGATGCGAGGGGCGGCGTTGCACTATGGGAGGACTGGTGCGCAGCATGGACTGAAGTTTCGCAATCCATGGGCCGCCGTCGACGAGAGTCGAGCGCCTTCAACTGGTCCGTGCGGCCGCCGGGTTACGTTTCGTCTTCGTATTCGTTACCTTCTCCCTTTAGCTTATCGATCGCCTACAATTATTGTTTATGATTCGATGTGGCCTAGTTCAGTTGCCGATTGCTGACGTTGTCCATAAGACGTAAATATGGTCACCACCTTCTACTTGCTGATTGATTGCTCGATGACGTACTAGACATTGTGATTGCAAACCCAGGTCACGGAGACGTGTCCAGTGGTGGGGGTCGTGGGCGACTCACCCCTAGGGATGGGAAGCGGGCTCGTGAGACGATCTCGGACATACAGTGTGAGACTTATATGACTTATGACGACTATGATACTCACACATCGTCGACCCGCCATACCGCCTTGGGGTTTCGTAATTCCGGGGCGACCACGATAGCCTCCCTAATTCCCCCGTCTCCTGATTGACGTTTGCAAACCTTTTAAGCAGACTACAATTAGTTCTCACTCTTTGTCCTCATGTATTCGACCCACGCTGACATACTACTCATGTTACGAAATAGCTACTACTCGAGCCACTACAATGTATTGATTTAACGAGTGTTGCGAAATATGAACTTTTGCTCGCGCCAATTGGATTGGTTGGCGGATATGAATGTATTATATGTAATTATCATTTATTATAGGTTGTTTTCTATTAGCGATTTATTCTGGCTATTATTCCTAATAAATTAATCCGCGTGGCAGGTATACTAACACATAGCATTCGACGGGGCATTCACTACTGCAACCACTACAAATTTTGGTGCATTGTCCTCTCGAAACAACTCCGGACAACTACTCGACGTTCGCACAGAACGACAGAGGTAAGTCAGTTCATTCTTCTACAGCTTTCAGCACAGTCTAGTGCATCCACGGTCCGACTCGACAAGGAGCTCGGGCACACACACGACTACGAACGCCGCCTACAACGGCAACAACAGCAACATCCTCACAGCAGGATACAGCCTACCAAACGGATTCACAGTCTCACAGAAAGACAGAGGTCACGAAACTTTAACGTCAACAGTTCTTTACACCTTTCAGCATATTGTCCCACCATTACCATCGGGTGAGCGGACAAACAACACCATAAGGTCGTGAGAAAACAACCTCATCTTGAGGAAACCTACCTAAGTGAGGATTTACGAAAACCGCAGTCCAGCAAGGTACCCTCGCAAAAAACCAACTAGGTTCCGGAACAAACGAAACACCGTCATCAACAAGCAATCATCCGACCAAACGAGGAAAGATCCAGATACGTCCAACGTTACCCAATTTGAATTTTCATTCTTTCAGATTTGAGATTTGCCCAGTCTTTTGAGTTTCGATTACGCTTTGCTTTTTCAATTTCTGTTTTTAGTATACGTTTTACAGAAGTTTCGTGATAGACAAACAATTCTTCTTTCGTATTCTCTTTTCTTCTCGTTTTTCCGTTCGTGTTTTCAGTTTAGCCGCAACCTTACGACCAGTTAGCGAGCGAGTCGAAGCCAAAAGCAGTATGTCACCCGTGCTCTCATCAAGTCAGGCAGTGCTCACAAGGGCATCTAACCAGCTTGAGAAGGATCTAGACAGCAATGAAGCTATCGGATATACTAGGACTTCCTCAAGAAAGAGGAGAGAGCAAAGAAGACATCAACTCATTACGAGTCAAAGTGCGAAGGGCAATAAATGAGCTCGACTTTCGAGTGAACAATGTTCAGGCGGCACTCGACAAGTACAATACCACGGTAGACCAATTAGGGGCAAGCGCGTCGTCAGAGAGAGCTGAGAAGAAGAAAATTGAAGAAATAATAGAAAAGACGCTGGACCTCCTGGACAGAGCTCAAGACCAGAAAATTAGTCTCATACACTGTTATGACGAAGTGGAACACTCACAAGCGAAGTTCACCAGCAATACTCCCATACCCAAATTTAGAGGAGAAGTTTGGGAATGGGAAGCGTTCTGGGGAGCGTTCAACCACACGGTACACTCATAAGATATGGACGACTACCTGAAAATGAACTATTTGGTGGATGCCATGGAAGGAAAGGCGAAAACATTTGTCAAACAGTACGAAGTATCCCGAGAGTCCTATCAAATGGTTATAGCTCATCTGAAGAACAAATACGGTAACAAAAGAGCTCTGGTAGACCAACTACTAAACAGACTTCACACAACAGTAGCAAGGAGTGAACGCTTAGAAGATCAGGAGACATTGTGTGAATCACTATGTTCGATCATAAACCAACTGCGCTACAAAGGAGAGCCAGTAGACAGCATGTATCTTCAGCAGCAGCTCCTCAGAAAATTTTCAAGAAAAGTTCAGAGATACACCTTGGATCGAACGCATCAGCTGGAAACTGAAGAGAAGCAGGAAGCAGACGGATGCACAACAGAAGAATTACTCAACATCATCAGTCAATATATAAGCAAAGAGCTCACAATAGAAACGCAAATGGGAAAACCACGCAACTTCAGAAGAGACTTGCACATCGAAGAGGACTACAGCGACCAGCGTACTCGAATCAGCGGCAGTACCCTAGGGACGACTCCATGCATCTACTGCAAAAGAACAAGCCACAGAGCGGTTGACTGCGATGAACTGAGAACGAATGAAGAAAGAGTGAAGCACATCAGAGCTCGCAATTTGTGCATTAACTGCGGAGCACCGGGACATTCGGTGGCCAAATGCAAATCTGGACCATCCCGAAACTGCGGCAAACAAGGTCATCACACCTCAATTTGCAAGGACAGGACCGTGCCACCGGACACTGCAGTAAGAAAAGAGGAGAAAGTTGAAACAGACGGGAGGCGAAGACCTGAAAAACGACCGGAGTCAACGAAGAAACACAGCAATCCAAAAACGTCCAAAGCTAGCGCACTGATCGCGGACACTACAACCAAAGCGGAAATTGTTGCGCAATCTCGTAAAAGTGAGGCAATGGACGCCCAAATTTTAGCGGGAGAAGCTCAAGTTTTCAACAAATACACCAAGGAGCAAGAACAAGTGTACGTGATATTTGACACAGGAGCGGATAGATCGTTCATCACTAAAGATCTAGCGGAACGACTAAAACTGCCGCAAACCGACTCTACGGACTTGACGATACACACGTTCGGAAATTTCGAACAAGTCAAGAAGAACTGCGGAGTTACATTTGTCCAGTTGCGAGACGCACAAGGTGAATATCACGACATCAAAGTAACCATAGTCGAAAACTTTACAAACCCATTGCGGCGTGTACCGCTAATCAGACAGGATAGAGCCTTCCTACGTGACAATAACATCAAGCTTTCCATCGATCCGCACACTCAAAACATCAAACCAAAAATTCTCCTTGGATGTGTAGACCTCTTCTCCCTGCTGGACAATGGCTAAGCTCCGAAGAAGATACTACCTTCAGGACTACTTCTTATCTCATCAAAACTAGGATACCTGATAACCGGAGCACACGAAAGGGACCAACATGCGTCAAACGACAGCACACTTTTGTTCACGGAAACTACCAATCCTGATGACGATCGTGAAGAACAATCCTGGAACGAGTTCTGTACGTTCGAATCAACAGGGATCCATGAATTTACAGGACCAACCGCAAAAGAACGTGAACTACAAAACATGGCCATATGGCAACAATTTGAAGAAACAATAGAAAAACGAGACGATGGCTATTACGTGAGACTGCCGTGGAAAGACGAGGCACAGATTCTCCCAGACAACAAGGGAATGGCCATAAAAAGACTACACGCTACACTTAACGCCTTGAACAGCAAGCCTACTATTTTGCAAAAATACCATGACACGATCCAAGAGCAACTACGACAGAACATTATAGAAGAGGTCGATGAGTCAAAACCAAACAAGGGAGCCATAGTACACTACCTTCCTCACCAGGCAGTACTAACTCCTAACAAAGAAACTACAAAACTAAGGATCGTATACGATGCCTCTGCTCATGCAAAAATGGCTCCATCGTTGAACGACGTACTCCATCAAGGACCTGTCTTATTGCCCCAAATCTTCGACATCTTGCTCAGATTTCGGATCGGTAACGTCGCTCTAATTAGCGACGTGGAAAAGGCTTTTCTACAAGTAAGGCTGCATGAAGAAGATAGAAACGCCACACGATTTCTATGGATTCGGGACATAATGCAGCCAGCCAACCATAGTAACCTGGCCGTATACAGATTTACAAGAGTCACATTTGGACTCAACTGCTCACCATTCT